GGCTCGTTAAGCAAACGAGCCGAACACAAACACACTTTTTGAGCTCGAAATATAAACGAGCCGAACACGACGTTAACACCCATACTTATTATATCCATAATCATGAATTTGAAGGCTTAATAAAAAGGGGGATGACCTAATTTTTATTTTTTACATCTATACCACTCAAAATTTTCACATCACAAAAAAAAATATCACTATTTTAACTTTTGAAAAGTTACATGTTTTCAGGCATAAGTGGCATATATATATAAATTGAAGTCTAGGTGTTACATAAAGCTATTACACAAGAATTAAATGGAACGTATATGCAAATATTCCAAAGAGTTAATACAAGTGATATTTTTATGACATGTTAGAATGTTCAATGTATGCAAATAAATACTAAAATTTAGATGTTTTGTATGTAATACATGAGAAATACATGATAACTATGTAAACGCCAATAAGCAAAATAAAAAAGAAGCAATTACATCTAGACGATCAACCATCATCTTTCATCCAATTTTCAAATTCTCGCTCAAATATCAAAACTCACCGTAAAACTCCAACCCGTATTTTTCATTTTTATCGAATTCTCAATGATTTGATCGTGACACGTATAGATACATCCGTCATACAGTTCAAAAAAATCACTTGGGTGATTAATCCGTAAATATCAATGTTTTGGGTGGCCTATATGTAATTATCCAAATTATTTTTCATGATTCTGAATTATAAACATTTACAACATGAGAAAATCAATTACATCTACAACAAATACTTAAACCTGAATGACATTCATTAAGCCTAATGTTATGGTAAAAAAAGCCAGCAAAAAATAGCAAGGGAAAAAATGTGTCAGCTAAAACATACAAACGCGAATTCCAATATGTCACCCCCCAAACCTTCAACTAAAGAAGTGTATTAATAAGATAATTGGAGATTCTACGACCAGAAACCTAAACATATCTGATCAAACTATATAAAAAAACAAAATAAAGAAAGTGCACAGTACCACTCTCTTACTGGCTTTCTCTCGCTCAAGGTTGCTCCGTCGTAGTAGCTAGCGGAGAGCTGGGCTCGAAGCCGTGCACCCGGAGTCGATAAATGCAGGTGTGGCTCGAGCTGCCATGGTTGGAGGTGAAGTCCAGCCTGACCATGTTGATGACCCTGCTGTTCGCCATGAAAGGGAACTTGCCGACACGGTAATCTGCTCCGGCGGCCTTAACCTGCTCCTCCGTCTTCCCGACATAAGCCACCTCTGGATGAGTGTAGACAACTCCAGGCACCAGATCGTAATCTACGTGACCTTCTTTTCCGGCGATGAATTCCACACAGGCGACACCGTCTTCTTCGGCCTTATGCGCGAGCATAGGTCCCGGAATCGCGTCGCCGATCGCGTAGATTCCCGGAACACTCGTCGTGAACTTGTGATCGACGATGATCCTGCCAGATTTGTCGGTCTGTATGCCGATTCTTTCCAGGCCAAGCCCTTCGGTAAAAGGGATTCTGCCAGCAGAGACGAGAACTACATCGGCTTCGATCGTGTGTTTCTCGCCGCCATCAGCTGCTTCGAGTTCGAGCTTGACACCATCTCCAGATGTATCAACCCCTAAAACCTTTGTTTTGAGAAGGAACTTCATCTTCTGCTTCTCGAGCATTCGTTGGAACTGCTTTCGAATCTCGCTATCCATGGTCGGCACAATGTCTGGCGCGAATTCGACGACGGTGACTTCGGATCCGAGACGCCCCCAAACGGATCCCATCTCGAGGCCGATGTAGCCGGCTCCAATCACAACAAGCTTCTTCGGGATGGTTTGGAGGGATAGGGCTCCGGTTGATGAGACGATCTTCTTCTCGTCGATGATGACTCCGGGGAGGGATTTGACGTCGGAGCCGGTGGCGATAATGATGTTCTTCCCTTTGATGGTGGTGGTGCTGCCGTCGAGGGTGTCGACGGAGACTTCGGAGGGGGAGGCGAGCTTTCCATGGCCTTTGATGTAGGCGACTTTGTTCTTCTTGAAGAGGCCTTCGATTCCGCGAGTGAGGCCGGATACGGCTTTGTCCTTCTGAGCCATCATGGCGGGAAGATCGACTTCAAGTTGGGAGAACTTGACGCCATGGTTGGCAAATGCGTGCTTCGCTTCGTGGTACAGATGAGATGAGTGGAGGAGAGCCTGAAAATGGATTGTGGGCTATGTATGTAAATACTTTTTTTTCTCATGCGTAAATTTCTGACACCGATGTGTATGTTATAAGTAGGGAAAAAATTTGCGTACATAAGACGTACGCAGAGTAGCGCAGAGTTGCGTACGTCTGTAACCTGCAAACAGGTTACAGGGAGGATTTTAGGAGGTTATAATCACGTTATTTCCCCTTTAACCTCCCTGTAACCTACATGTACCTTCGAGTAACCTACATGTACCTTCGAGTAAGTTCCGCGCTTCTGTTTTCATATATAGGTAGGTTACAGGGAGGTTACAGGGTGTATAACACGGTTATAACCTCCTGAAATCCTCCCTGTAACTTGTTTGCAGGTTACAGACGTACGCAGCTCTGCATACATCATATGTACACAAATTTTTCCCTATAAGTAGGGCCGTAAAAAAAACCTCATTGTTCTTAGACATTCGTGTTTGGTTCGTCAAGGAGTTCGTGTTCGATTCGTTCAAAAAATAAACGAGATGAACGTGAACAAATTTTTTTCATTTGCGTTCGTTTGTGTTCGAATCGTTATTATTCGAAATATAAAATAATTTAAAATAATTATATATATATATTTTTTATGATATTTTAAAAAATTAAATTTTATAAATTATAATATACAATAAATTAATAATAATAATATATTAATATATTATATTAGTAGTATACTAATATAGATATTTTATATTTATATAATATAAGTTATATAATTAATATAATATATTATTCATATATATTAATATTAGGGATGTCAAACTGGCTCGTCGTTCGCGAACAGCCCGTGTTCGGCTCCTCCTCTTA